TCCTGTGTTATTACTGTTATTCGTGTGTTATTCATGTGTTATTACTGTGTTATTACTGTGTTATTACTGAATTAATTCTGTGTTATTCCTCTGTTATTAATGTGTTATTACTGTGTTATTCATGTGTTATTACTCTTATTACTGTGTTATTCCTGTGCTATTCCTGTGTTATTACTGTGTTATTCGTGTATTACTGTGTTACTCCTGTGTTATGCCTGTGTTTATTACTGTTATTGCTGTGTTATTCCTGTGTTATTACTGTGTTATTACTGTGTTATTACTGTGTTATTACTGTTATTACTGTGTTATTACTGTGTTATTCCTGTGTTATTACTGTGTTATTCCTGTGTTTACTGTGTTATTCATGTTTTATTACTGTGTTATTACTGTGTTATTCATATGTTATTACTGTGTTATTAACGTGTTATTACTGAATTAATCCTTTGTTATTCCTCTGTTATTAATGTGTTATTACTGTGTTATTACTGTTATTCCTGTGTTATTACTGTGTTATTCATGTGTTATTACTGTGTTAGTACTGAATTAATCCTGTTATTCCTCTGTTATTACTGTGTTATTACTGTGTTATTCGTGTGTTATTCATGTGTTATTACTGTGTTATTACTGTGTTAATCATGTGTTATTACTGTTATTACTTTGTTATTACTGTGTTATTACTGTGTTATTCGTGTGTTATTTATGTGTTATTACTGTGTTATTAATGTGTTATTACTGTGTTATTACTGTGTTAATCATGTGTTATTACTGTGTTATTACTGAATTAATCCTGTGTTATTCCTCTGTTATTAATGTGTTATTACTGTGTTATTCCTGTGTTATTCATGTGTTATTACTGTTATTACTGTGTTATTACTGAATTAATCCTGTGTTATTCCTCTGTTATTAATGTGTTATTACTGTGTTATTCCTGTGTTATTCATGTGTTATTACTGTTATTACTGTGTTATTACTGAATTAATCCTGTGTTATTCCTCTGTTATTAATGTGTTATTACTGTGTTATTCCTGTGTTATTCATGTGTTATTACTGTTATTACTGTGTTATTACTGAATTAATCCTGTGTTATTCCTCTGTTATTAATGTGTTATTACTGTGTTATTCCTGTGTTATTCATGTGTTATTACTGTTATTACTGTGTTATTACTGAATTAATCCTGTGTTATTCCTCTGTTATTAATGTGTTATTACTGTGTTATTCCTGTGTTATTCATGTGTTATTACTGTTATTACTGTGTTATTACTGAATTAATCCTGTGTTATTCCTCTGTTATTAATGTGTTATTACTGTGTTATTCCTGTGTTATTCATGTGTTATTACTGTTATTACTGTGTTATTACTGAATTAATCCTGTGTTATTCCTCTGTTATTAATGTGTTATTACTGTGTTATTCCTGTGTTATTCATGTGTTATTACTGTTATTACTGTGTTATTACTGAATTAATCCTGTGTTATTCCTCTGTTATTAATGTGTTATTACTGTGTTATTCCTGTGTTATTCATGTGTTATTACTGTTATTACTGTGTTATTACTGAATTAATCCTGTGTTATTCCTCTGTTATTAATGTGTTATTACTGTGTTATTCCTGTGTTATTCATGTGTTATTACTGTTATTACTGTGTTATTACTGAATTAATCCTGTGTTATTCCTCTGTTATTAATGTGTTATTACTGTGTTATTCCTGTGTTATTCATGTGTTATTACTGTTATTACTGTGTTATTACTGAATTAATCCTGTGTTATTCCTCTGTTATTAATGTGTTATTACTGTGTTATTCCTGTGTTATTCATGTGTTATTACTGTTATTACTGTGTTATTACTGAATTAATCCTGTGTTATTCCTCTGTTATTAATGTGTTATTACTGTGTTATTCCTGTGTTATTCATGTGTTATTACTGTTATTACTGTGTTATTACTGAATTAATCCTGTGTTATTCCTCTGTTATTAATGTGTTATTACTGTGTTATTCCTGTGTTATTCATGTGTTATTACTGTTATTACTGTGTTATTACTGAATTAATCCTGTGTTATTCCTCTGTTATTAATGTGTTATTACTGTGTTATTCCTGTGTTATTCATGTGTTATTACTGTTATTACTGTGTTATTACTGAATTAATCCTGTGTTATTCCTCTGTTATTAATGTGTTATTACTGTGTTATTCCTGTGTTATTCATGTGTTATTACTGTTATTACTGTGTTATTACTGAATTAATCCTGTGTTATTCCTCTGTTATTAATGTGTTATTACTGTGTTATTCCTGTGTTATTCATGTGTTATTACTGTTATTACTGTGTTATTACTGAATTAATCCTGTGTTATTCCTCTGTTATTAATGTGTTATTACTGTGTTATTCCTGTGTTATTCATGTGTTATTACTGTTATTACTGTGTTATTACTGAATTAATCCTGTGTTATTCCTCTGTTATTAATGTGTTATTACTGTGTTATTCCTGTGTTATTCATGTGTTATTACTGTTATTACTGTGTTATTACTGAATTAATCCTGTGTTATTCCTCTGTTATTAATGTGTTATTACTGTGTTATTCCTGTGTTATTCATGTGTTATTACTGTTATTACTGTGTTATTACTGAATTAATCCTGTGTTATTCCTCTGTTATTAATGTGTTATTACTGTGTTATTCCTGTGTTATTCATGTGTTATTACTGTTATTACTGTGTTATTACTGAATTAATCCTGTGTTATTCCTCTGTTATTAATGTGTTATTACTGTGTTATTCCTGTGTTATTCATGTGTTATTACTGTTATTACTGTGTTATTACTGAATTAATCCTGTGTTATTCCTCTGTTATTAATGTGTTATTACTGTGTTATTCCTGTGTTATTCATGTGTTATTACTGTTATTACTGTGTTATTACTGAATTAATCCTGTGTTATTCCTCTGTTATTAATGTGTTATTACTGTGTTATTCCTGTGTTATTACTGTGTTATTCGTGTGTTATTACTGTGTTATTACTGAGTTAATCCTGTGTTATTCCTCTATTAATGTGTTATTACTGTTATTCCTGTGTTATTACTGTGTAATTACTGAATTAATCCTGTTATTAATGTGTTATTACTGTGTTATTCCTGTGTTATTACTGTGTAATTACTGAATTAATCCTGTTATTAATGTGTTATTACTGTGTTATCCGTGTGTTATTACTGTGTTATCCGTGTGTTATTACTGTGTTATTCCTGTGTTATTACTGTGTAATTACTGAATTAATCCTGTTATTAATGTGTTATTCTTGAGTTATTTCTGTTGATACTGTGTTATTACTGTTATTACTTTGTTATTCCTGTTATTACTTTGTTATTCCTGTCTTATTACTGAATTATTACTGTGTTATTCCTGTGTTAATCCAGTGTTATTCCTGTGTTATTACTGAGTTAATCCTGAGTTATTACTGTGTATTCCTGTGTTATTACTAAACTATTTCTGTGTTATTACTGTGTTATTCCTTTGTTATATCGGTGTTATCAAAGTGTTATTCCTGTCACCTCACACAAAGCCTTCCAACGACTTCAACTCATTTATATACTGTAACACAACTACTTTTATGAGTTTTTAATCATTTGACAACCATAGTCCCCATTCACTTTTATTACAATGAAATGAGTGCCCAAAAAGAGAGCCATATAGATAGACATGGTTTAATAATATTTTTTTTTATAAATTGAAAAGAAATTTTAAAAAACTGTTCCTGTAAAATTTTAAATTTTAGCTTATACCTTTAAGTAAATGTTTTAAATGTTCTTTTCAGAATATTAAGGAAAACTCAACAGGGATACTCTACACAGCATTCCTTAACAGCCCTGTTGAACCATTAATACTAATACTAATAATAACAACAACAACAACACATCCAGATCCATCACTTTTCTCACATTTTATTGCATAAGACTGCTCAACCACATTTAAGGCGATCATATTAGAACCTAAATCAGGACTTCCAGCTACTACCATGAGACAGATAATTAAAGCTGAATGCACTGGTGTTCACCCTCTGATTTAATACAGATAACGGAATAAACAGAGTTGGTTATCAAACGTGTTTCACAACCAATGACTTTGTCTCACTAATTAGTGCCACACAACTGCAAGTAACATTTTGCTGGTCTTACAGCAAATACAAAATATTAAATTAACACAAAAACTAGATAAAGCATTAATCTAAATGTGTTTATTTTGGTTTTCACCTCAAAATTAAAGCTTCTACATGCCGTATGTACATTTTTACCTTGAAATATCAGTTTCTAAATCATTCTGATAGTACACTTATAATATGGCGAATGATTTCGGTTTCTTTTCCACATTCCTCCTCAAACATCTGTTCTAGGAGCATGTAAGTTTGATAAGCGGGTACGGAATTCCATCAAAAGGGCAGACAGTTTAACTCATAGCTATCCACTGTAATTACAACAGTGATATACTATATACGACTTAACTGTAGGGAGCTCCAAAGTTGCATAAATACACTTAACTACACAACAATTCTTTAATCCATAAACAGAGGTTGATCTAAAAAAAGTATTCCAACTTAAAAAAAGAACAGCTTGGAAAATAAATCCTATAAAGCTTGTATTTGTGTCAAACCACTTATATTTAACCTTTTAAAACCTTGAGAACACTGACCCAGATTACTTTGCATTTTAAGTGCCTTGACTCTAACCACAATTTCTGACTTTGAGCAAAACCCGGGGTCAATTATTCTCTGTGGTAATCAGCATTATGCGGGATGCACTGTTGATAATGCTTTAATAGCATTTTTTTTTTTTTAAAGAATTTTGTTTGACGTTTTCTACACTGATTGTTTTAGGAAATTGCAGAATTTCACAGAATGGATTTAAATACAGCTATAGTTAATAGATAGTTTACCCAAAAATTCTGCCATCATTTACTTACCCTTAAGTTGTTTCAAACCTGTATGAACATCTTTCTTCTGCTGAACACACAAGAAGACATTTTGAAGAATGTTGATAGCCAAACAGTTGCTGGTTGCCATTGACTAGTATGGAAGTCATTGGGGACCAGCAAGAGGTTGTTTACCAACATTCTTCAAAATATGTTCTTTTGAGTTCAGCAGAAGAAAGAAAAGTCATACAGTACCTGAAAGCATCATCAAAATACCCAAAGATATTTCAGGAACTGGGGGTTTCACTTAGTGAATGACTGATGTTCAAATTCAAAGTAGATTACATGCAGCCCTACTTATTAATAAATAAATAACCCATTCACAGTCCGAGCCCCAGACTCTGTATTACTGCAATCTCATCTTCTTGGTAATAAATGAGCTAAATTGGTTTATCTGCTCTCAGTATCCATCAGCAGAGGTGGTTCTTACTCTGGGTCATCCTGAAAACCCTGAGGTTC